AGATTATATAATAATTTCTTGAATTTCACATTCGCACACAATGTGTCGTTTAAGGGGGTTGTTCACTGATTAATAATACGGTCGGTAAAAAAATTTTAGCACAGCATAAACTGGGTTTCAAGATCTCTAATGATTTTCTTTATGTAGTTTGTGCAGTTTTGTATGCTTTTACTTATTCTTTGCTCCTTTTAAAATGTCTTCCACTTGTACGTGACTGCATGCATACAGAAATTAATAACATATAATAACCATTTTAAAACAAACAAACAAATAAAAAAAATAGATTTATTTAATGAGTAGTGACAATTGCACCGTAATGAATTATTTAATCGAAAATTTATAATTAGTTATTTATGCACAATACAAGTAAGTGGATAACTCTACTCTTTTATTTGTTATATATATGAACCCAATTCACTATAACAAATCGGTGCAAGAATCATTTTTCTTACTTAATACAATACAAAGTTTGAAGTATCTCACGAATCATAATAGAAGGTTTAAAAGTTGGACGCATTCCCAATTTATGTAAATAAAAGATAATCTTAGCGATCACTTCGTCTCCACCCACGTAATAAAATAGTGAAATATAACAACTTTATATCATTTTTTTTTATATATGTCTTTAATTATGTGGTTTAGTTTAATTAAAATATAAGAGAATTCAATAAGGTATTGATTAAATAAGATGATCAAGTGACTTATCCCTGAGAACTCTCTAATAATTTTATCCACCAACGCACTAAAAAATAAACCAAATTTGAGTCATCGTGAACTCCTCAACTTTGTTTATTTAATGGAAAAATATCATTTGTTTATTATTGGGGGCCAATTATTCAATAATTGATGTAGATCTTTAGAGTATCCCTTATCTTGGATTCAAGAGCGTCCACGTGGCAGGATCTTGCAGTGTGAACATCCATCAGCCGTTTTGATGTGATTTCCTCTTGTTTTGTGGGCCCAACACATCCTGCGTGTATCGCCTTATGCTCAACTAGTCAACTCTTTTTGCGCTTTCAGACAAGTCTACTAAATCATGTCCTCGTTCTAACAAAAATCATAAAATCCCCCTTTTTTTTTTCTTTTTTTTTTTAATTCTTTATTTTATTATTAAACAATTCTTTGAACTAGTAAAAACTATAGTGTTATTTCATTTTTGTAATGGAACTGTTAAGTTGTTGCAAAATGATAGTAATATCTTTAATAGTATATTAATATTTAATTAAACTAAAATTATAGTGTGAGAGAGGCAATATCATTATTACAAATTATAAAATTATTTTGATTAGTAAAATGATATAACTGTTGCACGTGAGACCACGTGATACGATCCCGTAAATTTTAGATAGGAAATTAGCAGAGAAGGAGTGATATGATAGATCCACTTTCTAAAACAATAAGGAATAATATGATAGTTGTTTTTATTTAAGAGGTTAGTTAATGATTTTTGAAAATGAAAGGGCAGTTTTATGATTTTAGCCCTCTTGTTAAGTCCCTCGGCATATTTACCCAGTAATGCAATAACCTCATGCCACTTTTACAACTTCGTCCTTAAGGCTATGTTTGGTACAATGAAAAATAAAAAAAAGGATAAGATTAGTTAGAAAAGAAAAAAAGAAAAGAAATGATAGATATAGTTAACTAAAATAAATAAAATGATAGTAATTATGGTTGGGGAAATAAATGAAAGTATTATAGTGAATTTATTATCATACCTTTATATATATATATATATAGATTTTGTCTTTTATAAAAATAAAGGTAGATTTTGTATTAACAAATTTTTATTAAAAAAGCTAGTATTTCTTTTCATTTCCTTCAATTTCCTCCCATTGTTGGAAGGATAACAAAACCAAAACATTATATATAATTTGTTTCTTTCAAAATCTCTCCATTTCCTTTCTTTTATTAAAAATTCATATCAAATGCAATATTTTCATTATCTTTCTTTTATTTTCTTTCCAATACCTCCAACCAAATCGGGCCTAAAGTAAAGTAAATAAATAAATTTGGCATTGATTTTTGTCTAAGTAAGACATATGGACACGGGATACAAAGACATGCAAAAACATGAATAAGTCAAATTTTTAAAAAGTAATATACTAATACGACATGAACACGATGAGTATAAACATAAATTTTCTTTGATGTAAAATTAAATTGAATTTGTTTATTTTATTATTTTTCTTCAATTTTAAACCTTTCATCTTCATTAACATATAACTTGTTTGGATCAAAGTTGAGATGCAAATTTTGTCACCCAAAATTAAAAGGAAGGAAATATATTGTACTCTAAAAAAATAAAAAATAAAAATCAAGAAATTTCAAAATAAAAAAGCTGCATGATTTTTTTTTTTGTTGTTGAAATGACATCTATTATTAATGGAATTTGTGACTGTTTCTCCAACATGTCTATCCTAATAAGCACGCACTTGGTGGGACTCGCCTCTGCGGTGGTCCATGCACCATAATTATAGGGCCTACTTGTCATAATTAGATCTATCGAGATACACCATTCTATTCTATAGTGTTCCCACTACTGTGTGATTTGAAGTAATCCTTGATTAATCTGATCATGTTACCTTGATTAATCTGATCGTGTTATGATGTGAGATCAGACGGTGGAGATAAAGGTGAGGATTGACTGTGAAGGTGAGAGGAAGGTGAGAAGAGCCGTGGAGGGAATGAAAGGTGTGCAGTCGGTGGAGGTGACCCCAAAGCAGAACAAAATAGCCGTCATTGGATATGTGGAGCCCGCCAAGGTGGTGTCCCGGATGGCTCATCGGACGGGCAAGAAGGCTGAGATTTTGCCCTACTTCCCATACGACGTCGTCGCGCATCCATACGCTGCTGGCGTCTATGACAAAAGCCCTTGCGTACGTGCGAAATGCTGAGGACGGACATAACTATCAGCTCGCACGTGCCAGTTCTACCGAAGAATGCATGTGTTATCATGTGATCACATATATATATATATATATATATATGTATGTCATATACTCCATAGAAGTATTTTATTTTTTAAAATAAATTTTTACTTTTTAAATACAGTTGGGATACGTTTAGATATGCGAGAATATGCTTTGAATAATTTTGAAATACGCTGAAGTTCATATGCTTATAGTGCAAGGTATAAATATAAATCATAGTCCCTCCGTCTTTTAGTAATTCATTTTTTTATTTTTGATTGTCTCATAATAATTGTCCCATTTCAAAAGTCAATGCACTATTTTTATTAATATTTTCAATTTACACCTAAAAGATAAAACACATTGAAGTGTCAAAATAATAGACCCCATCAAAGAATAACATTTAAAAAGGATAAATTTGAAAACCAATATAATAAAAACTAGTGTCTTAAAATGTGTAAATTTTGAATGTGAACATCTATAATGGAACGGAAGGAGTATATTATATTCATGTAAAGTCCAATGAATTTATTTCATATATTTAAACCTTGCACTAGGTGTCTATTTTTTTACTTTTTTGATGGTACATAGATTGATTATTATTATTATTATTTTTCACTTTTACCTATTGTATTCATGTAATGTGATAATTATTAACCTTTGAATATTGAGTTTCAAATAATAAAAAAAATTAATATTTGACCCCCAAAAATTCATAACCCTACCGGAGTCCTTTTAGGTTTTATTTTTTAGACCACAATTTGAGGGAATGCAAAAGATTCCAAGTATAACCCATATTCTTATTATTTTTTATTTTATTTTATCCTGTTATATTTTAATCTAAAACTAAATTTCTTAGATTCCAAAATTTTTATCTCAAAGAAAAATATTACACTTTATTAATTTTAAAATTTATATTTATATTACTTTGGCCATTACAAGTAAAAAAATTATCGATCTTCTCAAGAGTGAAGTGCCAATATCATTCATTTTTCATGGTCAAAGTGACTCAAAACATGTAAAATATATATAATTATGTATTTAAATAAAAAATAGAAAAAAAAGGAAGATCAAACATTGTATTCTAATTCATATATATATTTTTTGGGTAAATAAATTCATATCTTATTTTTTCTCTTGTCCACTTTATTTGGCTAAAACTTTTTACCTCTATAATCGTTTTAAGTATCATTTTCTAGCTAAATCTTTATAGTAGTTTAAAGTACCATTTCCTATCTATCCCACTAAAACCAACATCATATAATCACACTTCAACTATGTTTGGGAAATTTTAAATTTAAGTTTTCTTCTATTTCAATTTTAAAGTGTAATTTATTCAATACTTTTAAACATCACATTTAAGTAAAAAAAATAAATTAGCATTCAATTAATTTAGGATGGAATGGTAGGGAAGCCTAGTAGGGAATCATTACTCATCATATTTCACCAGATTAAGAGTGACATTTGGTAAGCCAACTTTAATTATTAATTGTTCAAGTCAGTAAGGTAAAACTTATACACATGCATTAGCACGTGTCACGTGATATCATCTACTCAATAATTAATTCGTAATGTTTGGGCCACATACCATTTAAGTGAGGGAGGGCAATAATAATTTTAGAGAAAATAATAGTACGAGTAAGATTTTACAATTATATAATTGAAAAAAAAATAATTTGGGAGGTAATTGTCCTAAATTGAACTGTAGGTCGGTCCTGGTCGACATCATTTAAAATTTATTGCATTAGGTACATACTGAAACCGAAAGAACTTGGTCCGTCGAATTGATAAAAAGTGACATATTATACCTTTAAGTCAAATAATTAATTACTAGTATATTTAAAAATTTACCCATTTTTATTTTAATACAGTATATATATATATATATATATTTACATAGGCCAATCACGTCCTTTGAACTTGTGATATCCAGCTAACAGGGACACCTGGCATACAATGACCAGCCAATCTTCTAGATATTTTAAAACAAATGCTATACAGATATATACGTTATATATCTATATACACACAGAGATAGACACAGTGTGTGTGTGACGGGGAGCTGTTTTGCCTTTATATACGGGGGGCTCACAGCGACAAGGAAAAGGGTGCATCACTTTCAAGTTGAATCGAAGAAATAAAGTTTTGTTGGGATATACTTTTCTTCTGTCGATTGTTGGTGCTATATCATCTTTTAATATCTCTCTCTCTCTCACACACACACACACGCAGAGAGAGCGGAGTAATGGGTGTTCTGGATCATATCTCTAACGTATTTGATTGCTCTGATGGCGGTTCCCACGCCCACCACAGGAAACGCAAGCAATTGCAGGTACGTACTCTCTCAAACAAAAGGGTTCATCATTTTCTCTCTCTTTGATCCATTATAACTCTTATATATACAAATATATGTATATGCACACACACACACAGTATATTCTATCTTGCGAGCTAGCTGATCTACAAACTAGTTGGAGATCAACTCTTTCTTTGTGTTTTTTCTTTTTTAAATTTAACGGTAAAAAAAAAAAGAAAAAAAAGAAAAGAAAGAGATCTGGGTTGAATCTGCTAAAACATATAGGGCATACTTGTTTCAGTTTTTGAAAAACAGTTTTTAATTTTTTAAAAATTGAAAATTAAAAAATTATTGTATAAAAATGTTTTAGGTTCACAGTTTCTGGTAATTGTTTCCTAGAAACTCCTTGTTTTGTGAAAAATCAGTCAAAAATATATGAGCTTGCTATGTCACTTAAAAAAAAACACACATTTTTTAAGAACTCCTAAAGCATAAAACTATTTTTTTTTACATCATTCTTTAAAGACAAGATTTTTTAATTGAGTTTTTATCAAATAATTTTCAAAAAATTGAATCAATAAAGAATTTTTTTGTTTTATAATTTTTTTAATTGAGTTTTTATAAAAATTATAAAACAGATATTTTTATACTTAAATTTAAAAAAAATAATTTTTAAAAAGTTGAATCAATAAAGAATTTTATTTTTTTATTTTTATAATTTTTTATTTCTATTTCTATAATTACAAAGCTAGCAATAATTTTAGAGAACTGTTTTTTTAAAGTAGGCATATATTTTTTTAAGAAGCTAAACCCTTCTCTTCTTAGCTAATCTTTGATTTCATGATTCGGCCGAGTTGGAAACGAACCGGGCGGTCTGAGAAAACCCTCATTACAGACCGGCCAATCCATATAGAATGTAACGAACACTATATATAGACAGTGGTCATGGAGCTAAAATAGTATTTGAAAGGACCAAACTGCCCTCTTCTCTATTGTAGTGTTGACATGGGAAGTAGTGATTTGTCTTAATCCCTACCGAACGACCATGGTACGTGTTATATCTCGACCCTTTTGAGTAATTTCAAATCCCAATCGAAGCTCAGTAAAAGAATTTTAGCATTGAATAAACTAGGATGATAGTTGGTTTGTTTAATCATGAATAATCCAGGGAAAAAAAAAAAAAAAGTTCACAAATAATAATTTTTGTCCACACATAATATTATGTAATTTATGTTATATGTGTTTACTTAATCTATATACCTTTTTTCAGTGAGTTCTAGCTGTACGCTAGTAAAGAAATTAATAACATATAATAATAACTCTATTTAAAAAAAAAAAACTGGTTTATATGAGTAGACATATTCTACTGTATTTATATATAATATAATTTTTACTCACATAATACATCTGAATTTCAAATTCTATATATATATATATATATATCTTAGCTTATCTGGTTCAGTTTTAAAAAAAAAAAATTTAATAAAGAAAATTAAACCTATTAAAATTTAATAAGGCTATTTAAAGAAAATTGATCATATATATTTTGATTTAATTTGATTAGATAATCAAGTGACTTATCCTTTAGAACTATTTAATAATTTATCCACCAACCCATCCAAACAAAACCAAATTTGAGTCATAAACATGAACTCCGTCATCTAATTAAGTGTAGATATTTTGGCTTATTTAATGCAAAAAAAAAAAAAAAAAAAAAAGAAAAAGAAAAAGAAAAAAATCATTAGTATTCAATAATTGATATATCGTTAGAATATTCCTTATCTTGGATTCAAGAGCGTCCACGTGGCAGGATCTTCCAGGTGGGCCCAACACATCTATGGCTCTTTAGGCTTATCTCTGTTTGCACATGCTGACAAGTCTACCAATTTATGCCCTCATTCTATGTTTCGTTGCCACAGTCGTCACTAGTCAGCCATGAAGTTTTGTCCCTGGGGAAAAATAAATACTTAAATAATTTGCATTCATGTTTGTTAAATAAATATATAATATATGTATATATTAAATTTAACACCAGATGCTATTTTTTATCAAATACTAATAAAAATTTAGGTATTATTTTTTTTTGAGTAATGATAAAAAATAAAAATAAAATCAATCGATTTTGGTCGTCATTCCAATGAACAGAAATTCTAACTTGCATTTGTTGTCTTTCTATCTTTAAATGTTTATCTTTTAAGAAAAATAATTTTTAGGCCAGTTAATGTGATTTACTAATTAATATTTTTTATTAAATTTTACTTTGCTTGTAATTTAAAAAATAAAAATAAAAATAAAAATAAAAATATAGAAAATTCAAAATATGAAAGCTCCATGATTGAAGAAGGTTGTTTCTCATGTGAAAAGTATTTATTTTTGTGTCCTACATGTCTATTTCCTAATAAGTAAAGTGCAGGCATGCCTTGGCCTTTGGTGGGACTCACCTCTATGGTGGACCATACACCATAATTATAGGGCCTTCTTGTCATAATTAGATCTATCCATGAACAGTATTCTATTATGTAGCTTTCCCACTACTGCGTGTGATTTGAATTTTGAACTAATCCTTGATTAATCTGATCATGTGTGATGTGAGATCAGACGGTGGACATAAAGGTGAGGATTGACTGTGAAGGATGCGAGAGGAAGGTGAGAAGAGCCGTGGAGGGAATGAAAGGTGTGCAGTCGGTGGAGATTACCCCGAAGCAGAACAAACTCACGGTCGTCGGATATGTGGAGCCCCACAAGGTGGTGTCCCGCGTGGCTCATCGGACGGGCAAGAAGGCGGAGATCTGGCCCTACGTCCCGTACGACGTCGTTGCGCATCCCTACGCTGCTGGCGTCTATGACAAGAAAGCCCCTTCTGGGTACGTGCGAAATTCTGAGGACGGACATAACTATCAGCTCGGGCGTGCCAGCTCCACCGAAGTGCGCTACACCACTGCCTTCAGTGATGAAAATACTAATGCATGTGTCGTCATGTGATGTGTGTATATATATATATATATCATATATTATACTATCATTATGTAGTGCTTTTCTTCGGACTTGATCTCTCGTTCTTCTTATCTCTATTTGTAGATTGTGTGTTGAGACTTGAGACTGTTGATTTTTTTCTTTTTAAAAAATTTATGTAGTTTTTTTTTTTTTTTTTTAATGGGTAATTGAAAATTTATAGTTTTGAATCTTGTTCCGGTATCATAACAAGTATCATATTTCATCTTATGTACAACAATATTTGATAAAAAAATAAACATTTATTTTATATGACAAGAATTCAAACACTGGAATAATTGAACATTCGGCCCCTACTCCAAAGACTCACCCCTCTGCTCAGGGACGTAGCCAATGATTATTTTTTTTTACTATTTTATAAATACCTATAAAATTTTCACTTTATTCTCCTAAAATTATAAAAAAAATACACTAAATTCATTTTTGTCCTTTTAACTCACACGAATTTTTGGCTCCATCCCTGGAGCCTCTACTCAATAGAAGGCGATTAATGACATTATTTTTGAATGGTACATAAGTTGGGTCAATTGCAGAAAATTTTATTAATGTATACTTTGCGTAGCACTTTTTTTTAATTTAAAAAAATGTGCGAAAAACACACAATTCTTTTAAAATTGTGCAAAAACACCCATTAATCAAATATCATTGAATCATAAAATAATGTTATAATACTCGTTTTGTCATTTTATTCTCTCGAAAATGTTCAAGGAGTGTATGTATGTTAATAATCTCATAGTATAGGAATATTATGTGTACCAAATTAAAACTGTAAGGCTGTTTTTTGCACAAGAGAAGTGTGATACATAAACATATTATAAAGATATTTTTTGCGTAGCACTTTTACCTTAATTTGAAAAAATGTGCGAAAAACACACAATTCTTCTAAAATTGTGCAAAAACACCCATCAATCAAATATCATTGTAACATAAAGTAATGTTATAATTCTCGTTTTGTCATTTTATTCTCTCAAAAATGTTCAAGGAGGGTATGTATGTTAATAATCTCATAGTATAAGAATATTATGTGTACCAAATCAAAACTTTAAGGATGTTTTTTGCACACGAGAAGTGTGATACGTAAACATATTATAAAAATATTTTTTGCACTTAACCCTATATATAAGTTTTCGTTATTATATTTTCACTGTTGAGAAAATGGAGGGTCAATTTCTTTATTTTTTTTACAAACTTAATAAAAAGCAAACGAGGAAGGGATTTGAAATGATAAAAACATGCATGCAAAATGTTAAAATTTTTTTGGAGAAATGTGAATCAACACTTTAATCAAATCATAATCCATCAACCACAATATCAATTTGGTTTAAAACCCAATAGTTTTTCTTGTGGAATGTAGTTGATCGAAGTCGTAATTTTTATTTTTTCCAGATAAAAAGTTAAAATTCCAGAGCTTCCTTGAAAAAAAAAAAAATAGTTGATAATAGTTATTATATTCTTTATCATTGATCACTTGACGACAATGATCATTTTATTCTCACATGTACTATTCCCATTTCATTTTCACATTCTATTCTTTCATCATTTTTTATTTATAAAAAAATACTAAAATGATAATAATCATTTTATACTTATACGTGCTACTCCCATCTCATTTTCACTTCCATTTCATTTATGTTTCATTCTATTCTTGGTTCCAAACACAGTACTAAGATAACAGAAATACAGTGAATCTAACAAAGTAAAATTGAAGAAAGAGACAAAGACTTCGCATATACATATATATATATATATATACAGGGCTATTTTTGTAATTATAGTATGAAACAGAAACACAATATTGTTTTGTATATGATAATAGTAGGCTAGCTCTTCATATATAATATTGTTTTGTATATGATAATAGTAGGCTAGCTCTTCATATATATGAAGAGCTAGCCTACTATTATCATATACAAAACAATATTGTGTTTCTGTTTCATACTATAATTACAAAAATAGCCCTGGAAAATATTTAGTAATCACCACTAGTCAACTGCTTTAAGTAAATAGTAGTAGCTTAGATATTTTTTTTAGGTTAAAGTCTTGGACCTGATTGAGTGCTAATCTTCTTCACATTTGATTTTATTTCAAACAAAATCATGAGGGCCATTGAATTTATAATCAAAGATGGGGACGTTTCAATTTGTCATCAACCAGCCGGTTGGTTGTGAAAAGGACTAAACTTTGTTGCTTGGAGAAAAGACTAGTATGATTCATTGTAAGACTATGATTTTATGGGTGGGATTTATGGTTGGAAAACACAAATTAAACAACCTCTAGTGGCCCATCCAATTCAATTAATATCTTGAGGATGGTAGTTTCCTTTTGGAATTTTCATTCAATGCTTTTGCTTGTCCCTTGTTTTAGGTTATACCAACTACTTGGTGTAATAGTATGATACTATATTGCATCTCAATCAATTACTGTTGATTCATTTATATTTTTAAAAATTACAAAAAAAAAAAAAAATAGTAATTTCATCGTATTCAATTTCTTTACAACTTTTGAAATTTTCTTAATTTTTTCCAAGGTCCATAAATGTTCTCACTTCAATTTTACATTCAAAATCAATCTTTTTCAAGATACTCAATCGCTCATTTTTTTCTCAAACAAAACTCTTGGACATTAAGATAGGTACCCCTAAGTCAAAACATGTCTATTTTTTTGAACTACATTGAATCTGATTTTGTTTTTTTTTTTTTTTTTTCCTTCGGAGGAAGGATACGTAGGCAATTTAAGGCGACCCTTGGGTTTGATTCCACTAATAAAATATTCCCTTTTTATTTTTATTTTTATTTTTTTATTTAGGATTAGTTGTATTTTGTGTCTATTTCATGTGATAACTAAGTCATTTTGGAGTAGATTAGTTCATGTTGTTACCCTTTTGGTGCTAGGTCGCTGGCTAACAAGTCACAAGCATTGTACCTAAACACATACTCTCTCTGTCCCAAAAAAAATGCCCACCTTTTTATTTTTATATGTCCCAAAATAGTTGTCCCAATTGAAACCTCAATCTATTATATTTTATAACATTACCAATATAACATTCTTGCATTGAACTTATAAAAGGGGGACCCATTATGGGTAAATTTGATAACTCATTCACTAATTCAATAAAAAATACTGAAAGCCATCATTTTAGAAAGTTAAATTTCCAAAGAGGGACACTTATTATTATGGAATAGTGGGAGTATAATTTTAGGTCTTCAATCTAATCCCTTCTAAAAAAGACTAAAGCAACAAAGAATTCATAAGGTTCTACATAAACTACACTACACACCCTCAGAAAATCACATGAAATCTTGGCAACCATGCATATGTATGAATACATGTTACGTGTAACACCTTCCCTCACGTATAATCAGACATTCAAATCTGTTTATCTATCGTTAGACCATATGGACGTCATCTCATAGGGCTGTTACATATAACTCATATAACATAACTTAGCTAACTTAGCATATAAAAAATGTGAGATAACGACTCCATTCTTTAGGCCCTATTTACATCTTATCGTAGTAAAAGGTTTTATTTTTTCAATAACATCTTCATTCATATTAACTACATTCTTTAGGCCTCGGTATTTTGCTTTTGAAGATGTTTGGTATTCATTTCTTAGGTTCCTTTGTGTTTGGCTATTCCAGAACTTGAAATTATGAACCTCTATTAGCCTTGTAAGTTAACGATGTTGTTGGTGTTTAGTTTCTCATTTTTTCTTGCTTGAGATTTGTTAGCAATGGATTCTGGCTTGTCTTTATGGCTTATAGTGAATTCTTCACTTTTGGTTGAGTATCAGTTCTTCTTATGTGGATTTTTTTTGCTTTTCTATGGTGGATAGCTATTATAGAATGGATGTTGGGTGGGGAGAGAGAGAGGGGTGGTGGTGTGGGTGGGTGAAGATCGAGGAGAAGATGTTAGGTGAGCTAGACGCGTCCCTCCCCAAATTTAAAATACCTTGTTTATATGCCTCTAATGATTTTTAATATTGAGTTTGAACAACTTACGTGTGGTCCAACAAAGTTCATTGACACATTTTTATCCTTACTTTAAAAGTGTGCTGACCGTATCAAATTTTTCGTTTTTTTCATATTTATTTTTATTTTATTTCTTTTTCTTCCTCGGGTCATGTGGGCCCAAGACCGAGTTAAGTGCTTGAAGTTGTTTCCTGACACTTTATTCATTCCATACTTGCATGTTTTGCCCTCATATCATCATTGATATGTATTGCACTTGTATGCTTCTTCATATGTTTTTAACTTTTATTACGTAAGGGTAATTGTGCGATTATGGTTGATTTACATTTTCATTCTTGGGGGTATTTGTGTAATTATCTTTTATAGATATTGTATTTGGGGCAAAAGTGCAATTACGTTTTGAAGATAATTCTATTTTGGGATTTTTGTGTGATTCTTGAATTTTATAGGGGTTGCTTTGCAATTTTAGGATTCTTCAAGATATATGCAGATGACAAATATCATACTATCTCTTTCTTCTTCTCCTCTCTCTCCTTTTTTCCTCCAACATCATCATCATTTTTTTTTTTTTTTTTTTTTTTTTTTTTTTTGTGTGCTCTCTTTCTCCCTTTAGGCCATTATCCTCTTACATTTTGGTGTTGGCATAGAAGGGGAAATGCTCAGGGGTGTGAGATGTAAATTTTATAATTGGTAATTATCGGTAACAAAACAATTCCTAGTCGAGTTGTAATTTCAAGTTACTATATCGGGATCGACAGCGACTGTGGAATTGGAAGGTTGTTCAAAGATACCATAAATGAGATCATCGAAAAAGGAATGAACAACACTTTAGGAAGAAAACTAAAAAGGTTAGGGCACGTTCCATACTTGGTATATTTTCAAAAAATTTCAAAAAAAAGTGTTTTTTACCAAGTTCAGCCTTAGAATTCAAGTCTGATAGACTTGAACTGGTTCAGCTGAACCGATTCAAGGCCTTCAAGTTTGGCTTCGAAATCAATCTGCCATACTTGAACCGGTTCAGCCTTTCTTGAACCGGTTCAAAGGTCTGTTACAGGTTTTTGGAAACTTGCAATCCTGTTCTGATTACTTTCTTAGTTGGTTTAGAAGTGTATCAAGTGCAATGCACGAAATTTTCTATATTTTCAGAGGGATTAGGTAATTCTAAATTCTGTATAAACCCTGATAGTCATCTAGGTTTATTG